CTCTTGCTCAGGCTGGTTTCGAACTCCTGAGCTCAAACAATCCGCCCGCCTCGGCCTCCTAGAGTGCTAGGATTACAGGCGTGAGCCACCGCACCCGGCCTGGTACTTGTTTTTTATAGAGCAAAAACTTCCAGGGTTTTTCAGATTCACTGAGCTATACTGTTAAACAAGGGTTGCTTAGAGAGGTCCATGCCATGTATTATACAGTTACTTTATCCTTGTGGAAAAAATAGTGTCCTTAAATGTAGTAGGCGTGACCTTTAAGATCATATTAATAGTAAATTTCTATAGCTCCTTACTTCTAAGAAGGCAGCTTGACTTCCAAATATTAGAGCTTCACTTGGCAAAACCACTTCAGGAATTGAATTGGGATAGATTGCTAATTTGTTTTGGAGATTTCTAAGTTTTCCTTTTGCTCTATTCTGCTGGTGAATAAACAGGCAGATCATAGTATTGTGTTTGCTGATGAGGTGAAAATTGAAGTTTCTCAAACTTTAATAAATAGACTTGCAAGATAGCAAAATGCCAAGATAAAATTGTAGCTTCTAGGATTTCCAAACAGGATTATACACTGCATAGAGAATCTGGTTTGAATGTAGTTCAAGGATGTGTGCTCCAGAGGTAAGTGCCAGAGCCTTAAGGCTTGCATAGCAGTAGTGTCTTGTGTCTTCCCTAGCTAAACTGCTATAGCAGAGTAAGGATTTTTAGGCCTAGTTTTGGGAAAGAAATGAAAAGCAGTAGGTTTTACTGTCTTTTGGCTTTAACAAGTGACTAATTTCTTCATGTTAGTACATACGGTAAAAAGAGCTGCTAATAGAGAGCCAGTAGCACAACCAAGGCAGGTGTCTTGGCTCTGCTACCAACAAAGTTTTTTTTTTTTTTTTTGAGACAGAGTCTCACTCTGTTGCCCTGGCTAGAGTGAGTGCCATGGCGTTAGCCTAGCTCACACCAACCTCAACTCCTGGGCTCAAGCAATCCTACTGCCTCAGCCTCCCGAGTAGCTGGGACTACAGGCACAGGCCACCATGCCCGGCTAATTTTTTCTATATATTTTTAGTTGTCCAGATAATTTTTAGTAGAGACATGGTCTCACTCTTGCTCAGGCTGGTCTCGAACTCCTGAGCTCAAACAATCCACCCGCCTCGGCCTCCCAGAGTGCTAGGATTGCAGGCGTGAGCCACCGCGCCTGGCCTCTAACAAACATTTTGACTTAACCTCTCTGAAGCTCAGTGATCTCTATGATCCCATACGTCATTGAAAAATAATAATTGCGCTTCTGCCATGTGCCAAGTACCTATCTTGGTGATGGGGATATAATAGGGAAAAAATACTCCAGATCTAAAAATCCACAATTCTATGTCATATTGCTTTTATCCTCCTTGAAATTGAATGCAACTTTCAGGGATTATAGCCACAGCAACAATTCAGATGAGCAAAAGGCAGGGAGGGGTAGGGAATTTATTGGCTCATGTAACTGGGAAAGCCAAATAATGGCACTAGTTCCAGGCATGGCTACTTCTAGGAATTTAGATGATGTCATAGGGGACTTAATGCTGTCTCCTTCCATGTTTTAGTTATGCAGAGTGGAAAAGCTAGCCTTATAGCTAGCAGTTAAAAAGAGTACCCTCTCTCTCAAAGCCCATATTTGAAAACCCCCCTTTTTTTTAAGAGAATGGGGTCTTACTCTGTTGCTCAGGCTTGAGTGCAATGGCACAGTCATAACTCACTGCAGCCTCAAATTCCTGGGCTC